CTTTGGCATACTTTGCCATAGGTTATTATGAAGCCTGACACCAAAACATAGAGAATGGGAGAAAATGTGCAAGTATATTTTCCTAAAATAAAGTCTAAAGACTGAAAGGGCACATTTTGTTCCAAAGATAATTTATACAAATTTTCAATAATTAGAAATATCTGAGTATATTGTACTTCAGGGATAAAAAAATCCTTTGGGTATTTAGCCTCCTCTTTCACCACCACCACCACTAAAAAAAAAAAAAAATCCACTATTTACATGTGAATTAAAAAAAAATTACTCTTGTGCATAAACAGAAGGGAAAATGTAAAATAACTAACTTAAGGTATTTATTCCAAGATCCTTTTCACATTTAGAGTCTTTCTTGTGAATCACCTTTTGAATCAGAGTTTGTGTCTTCTCACGAATTGTGGCCTTTAAGCTCTTAAAAGCAATGGCGATAAGCATTTCATTAAAGAGCACTCCACCACTGTCTCTGGAATTGTCTTCTGAGGCACTGGCACCCAGTAAGCAAGCTTGATACCGATGCCTTCCTGGTCAATGGAAGTATTAATGAAAGGTTTTCAGATCTCAGCCAGGACTTTTTTCTTTCTCAACTGGTACTTGGCTTTCTAGCTGAAGAATAGCTGTTTTCCAGTTTTGTCAAAAAGAATGTAACAAATAGGCCTACAATTATGTCCTGTAACAGGCTGACTCTTTGAAGGGAGACAGGGATATTATGTACCCTTGTGGTATATGATGATATTATTTCTGCAAAACATTCACTGTCCCTTCCATGGCAGGATAATTCATCTGTGGTCACTGACATCATGCTTGTCCTAGGACTTGCTCTGGCTAATGGAATGTCATGGAAGTGAAAGGTGTCACTCCCTAGCAGAAATTTTAAGAGCCGTCATGTTGTTCCTCACCTTTCTTTCCCCTCTCTTAGAACAACGTTCCCCACATAGGGGCTGTTCCTTTAACCTGAGTCCTGAAAATGAAGACAACATGAATTATAGCCAAAATTGACTATTACAAACATGTAATGTAAATGAAAAAAAATTGTAAGCCACTGAGGTTTTGGGGTTGTTACTGCAGCCTAATTTAGCTTAAGCTGACTGATACAGCTCTCTAAGCACAAGGAATTTAGCCCTTGTTTTGGCATGGTATATGCACTGTTCTGAGAGACTATTGATTTTC